CTTCTGCAGATTCTTTATTAGTCTTTTTTTTACTTCTAGCTACAACTCAGAAGAGTTAGTTTACCCAGATCTTAGATGTTTATATAGTTTTCTTTCTCTTCATACATGCTTTAGAGTATTTATTTTTTTCTTTTAGTTTGGCAATCTAGCAGTTCAATTAGAGTGTTCACTATTTAAAGATCTGGTTACTTAGTTTTTTAATTTTAGTCTCTGGTTTTAAATTTGGTCTTCCTGTAATACTATCAAAGATTGCACTATTTTTTAACTCAAAACTTGCTAAATAGGTTTTTAGTTATTCTAGTGCTTTGGATTTATTGTACTAAAGCTTATATTCTAGATTGTATAACCAAAGTTACAGATTTCTAGATCCTACTAATTGTTGAATAGCTGTTAACCATATTACAAGGTTATTTTTCAAAAATATTGTCTATAAAATTCAAATTCTAGATCTGCTATCTAGTAGTATAATAACTTTATTACTTTACTAAGTTGTCACACTCTTTTATTAATTATTTAATATTGTTTAAAAAATTTAATTATATTTATAAAAGATGCTACTAGAAAATATAACTTATTATTTTTTTAATTTTTCCTGCTTATAAGTTTTTTTAAGAAATAATTTGTATTGTTTACTTTTTCCTGATATTTATTAAAAAGGCTTTCAGAATAATTAGCTTCAAATTACAAAATAATACAACAATATTATAATAAAAATATTTTTTTCCAAAAATATATATTAATCTTTCTTATATAAAAATATTTAACCAGAGGCATTAATTAAAAAAACTAGCTTCAGTATAATATTTTTTAATTAATAAAAAAAAATATATTATGTATTATAGAATATATATACATATTTGATACATGTTAATTTCACTAAATTAACTATTTTGATATTGTAAACCTATATATATATATGTATTCACTTTATATACTACAGCTTACTTTTTAATAAAAAAAATTAATTATTTTAATAAAATTTATTAATATGTATCTATTTGCTGTACTAAATTTAGTATAGTCTTAAAACTAAAATAAAATAAAAAAACTATTAGCTATTATTTAAAATTTATAAGAGATATAAATAAATATATAAAGTTTATTTTGGTAATTAAAAATAATTAGTGTATATTTGGCAATCAGATGCAAGCAGATTTTTTTTAGAAAGAATTATTAAAGTTTGATTTAATCTGCAAATCATATGTTGGTAACACTTTTAAAAAAATTTCTGCTTATATAACTTGTTTTAACTAGTTATAACTTGGCCAAAAATATAATTTGTTGACTTTTTATTTATATTTAGAGAAAAGAATTAATAATTTGATTGGTATATCTATGAAGTTATAAAGGTAAATCATAAATATATTCATAGATATATACTAAAAAAAGTACAATATATAATGCAAAAAATAATTTAAATGCAAGTTTTTAAGTAATAATAGTGGGTATTTTTTACTGATATAATATGCAATGCCAAGAATATTAAAAAAATTAGTTGTTGGAGGGCAGATAAGCTATAAAGCAACAATATTACCAAAGAATATAATAGAATAGCATTTATGGCCACATGGAGAAAATTAGAAGAATTTATATTTAAATAATACAATTATTAGAGAATTAACTACAAAAAAGTGCTAAATATTTCAAGTAAGTTTTAATAAAATTGAAAATATGGTTGTGTATATCCTTGCAAGCAATCTAGGATGTGAGAAACAAGCTATTTTAAATAGAGAAAAAGAAGAAGCAGCAGTAACACAGTTATTATTAGTATATGAAGAATAAAGATTTGACTTAGGTTAGAAAATATCAACCTTGGTAGGTTAGATATTAACCTAGATCAATAGATCAAACAGAAATTTATACTATTTTTAAAGTTAATCCTTAAAAGTTGTTGTAATTAGAGTTATTAAAATAGAAAGTAGCTACTGTACTCTAAATATTTAAATAAAAAAATTTCTTTGCTTGTGATTTGAGTTTGTTTATTTTCTACTTCGAGAAGATAACTATTTTTATAAATTCTGGAACAATTTTGCTAAATGATTTTTTGGTCAATTCAATTAAGTTTAAATATTAGCTTAATTAGTATATCAAAGCTACTTTTGTATCAAATATAACTCTTACTATACAGAGTATAAGAACTTTAACATACCTATTAAATACTAATACCTAAGTGTTTTATAATTGATCAAATTAATAAACTTTCTAAAGTTTTTTTTTTAATTATAGCAATTGCCAGTAATAATGTTTTGAAAGTATTGTATTTCAGTATTCAACTAGATATATATATATACTAGTATACTAAAGTCTTGTAATATCTATATTAGTTATCAGATCTTAAATTTATATACAGTATACCAGAATTATAACCTAATCAAATTGGCCAAATCAGGTGTCCCAAAATTTATAAACCAATTTTTGACTTATGACTTGTCAAGAAAATAACCTGCATAGATCAGATAACCCAGAAGAGCTGTACTACTTTGTAAATTATAATATCTTCTACCTGTACAGTTATATTAAGAAAATTACACATTTTATTAGAGTTTTGCCTATTTTGAATTCTGACCTGCTTGACCCAGGTTAAAGTAATTTTAGCCCATGTCTCGCTGGGTTGGGTGACCTGTACAGGTCACCCAACCCGGGTCAAAGCTCTAATAAAGAACTTTCTGATAATTGTAAAAGTAGTTTAAAAGAAGAAAAAAGAGAAAATATTGATGTAATTAACCTTAGTATCTCAATAAACTGGCAAGAGCAACCAGTAACCATTAACCAATATCAATTAATCTAGTATATAATCATAAATGTGAATTTAATATTTTATCAATAAGTTTAGCTTTACTATATAAATTATTTCATTGATTTATTCTACTTAATTATATTGAATAGTAGTAATTAATTCTATTAACAGATGTGGAAAAGATACTTCAAACTGGGTTAATGTAAATATTAATATGTATGTGAGGTGATTAGGTTTATGGGTACTAATATTTGCTTTTCCAGTTGCTAATTGTTAGTTTTAATAAAGAACAAGTCATAAGCAAACACAGCCTATAGTACCATTTAATTTTTAATGTTAAATGAGTCGTTCATGATTTGAGTAGATAGTGTTATACTATACTTTAATGATAACAAGTGAATTAAATACTCCAAACCTTAATGATCCTTTATATTCTGTTTGTAGTTTTATTAATGCTTTTAATAGCAATTTAGTTAATGCTATAAAGCTTAGAAGTACTTTATGTATTGATAAATCTATGAATTTATAGTTAGGTAAAAAAAATAAGACTCCAGATTATCGCAAAATACCATAAAAACTGTATCCAGTTGGACAAGAGTGAAAAACAATTACTGATAGCTCTACAAATATTATTATTTAGCTGGAGCCTTGCGAAGATAAAGAAATTAGAAAAAATAAGCAGTTTGCATCAGAATATGGTAGTATTGCTACCAATGTACTTTGATTGGCACAACCATGGTTTGGTAGTGGATGAACTATTGTTGGTAATAGTTGGTTTGGATTACCAAAAGTTTGCTTACTTTTAATGCAAAATGGATTGTATAGTATTTTTTTTGTTAAAAAAAACATGGATGGCTACTTAATTACCCTCAGCATATGATTCAAAAACTTGGAAATACATATGGGTTCTATTTTTCAAAAGTTGCAGTTGTTGATAGGACTTTTCAACAGACAGAAATTTTCCATTGTTTATAATAATCTACTCCGGCTATAGTTTATAAGCTTGCATCTAAATTCTGATTTTAAAAAAAACATTGACAAAAAAAAGGCATAGTACATCACCTAGAAATTTTGTGTCCTGAATTGAACCAATATTTTACCAGTTATTAATAATATACATACGTAGCTATACAAAGGAATCAGAAAATCAAGCAATTTATTTTATTTTATTTTATTATTATTTTTTTTTTAATAACGATAAAATTTGCAAATTGTGCAAACCAATTAATGTAAATTACAATCAAGTGCTCATAGCTTATAGAGGCTCTTTTTAGACCTGCAAACGACGGCAAGTATCCATGTTATTTACGTTCTTCTGGATTATTGCCAACAATGGAATTGATTATACTAATTTAATGAATTATTTAAATGCAAAACATGAAAACTCTTTAATTTGCTAATATAGTATTGAAAATGTTAATTCTATAGTAGACTCTGGGATTTTTTATTATAGTACAAGTGTGGTTAACTAGGTGGCTTTATTATAAAGTGCTGATTGATTGCAATTAATTGCAATTATCACATCATTAATTGAATATATTTTTTTAAATAATAATTTTATCATAATTGATAATTGTTTATATATAATACTATTTAATTGCAATTAATTTTTCGGTACCCTGATATTTAATTATAATTCTATTAACAGTCACACGATTTGTCACATCATGATTTTTATTATATGATTTTTATAAATTACACAAATTGACAAATTCACACTTTTGAAATTTTTTTAAACCTGTAGTTAAAATATATAAAATACTTCTAAAAAGTTTATTACTGAAGTTTTTACGAATCGAATGCTATAAAAAATACAACATATAAATTTCTCTACATTGAATATAATACCTTCGAAAGTAGGTAATTATTTTATATACTTTTGGAAGATTCTTTTCAAGCTTGCAACTTTTTAAAAAATTAATGATTCATTAGATGCGCCAACATTAGATCTTTCAACAAAATGCATGTTCAAAAGGTCAGTAAATTATAAACTTTACTGTGAAATTTAAGAAAAACAGTTTTATAGTAAGTAGATCGCTTAATATTACATATAAAAAGTTCTTTTGAAGCAATTTCGGTACTACGTTTTTTTATTTATTTAGGTTTAGAGTTATAATTGCAACAATTATAATACAATTGGTTCAAAGATAAGTATAATAATAGAAGATTTTGTATTTTAGATAAATATAGTATATAATAAAGTATATATCTCTTTTTTTAGATGAAATCTGGGCTGTGAAACAAAAAAGATTTATTATACCATTTATTCATCTTCATTTTGAGTATTATTATCATTTTGAGCATTATCTTTACTTTGAGTATCATCCTCATTTTGAGTATTTTTTCATTTCTTCTTTCGTTGCTTTAAAGCCGCTATGGAATCCTTAACCAAGTTTTTAATTCCTCTTCTCTTTGATTTTTTTTTTTTAGTCAAGTAAACTTCTTTCGCAAGAAGGTTTTGCATACGTTCTATTCTATGTTGATAACAAGTTTCTATATTGAAGAATCCTTTTGTAGTATTTTGGGTTGTGTAATCAAAAAGAGAATGACTGTTGGGATCTGAATTTTGAAATGTGTTATATATCTGTTCACTTAAAGCCCATGTTTGTTCATGTTGATCTGGTACAACATGATCATCAATATTTATTACTTGGTCAACAAATTCATCAAGAACTGATAGTCATTTAATTTCATCTTGGCTTCCGTGTATTTGTCAGTGTAAGTTTTTCTTATCTCCAGATTTTTTTGTCATCACCTCTTTAACAAATTTAACACCATATGTCTCTAAAGCTTCGTCGTATGCTAGATAATGCCCTTCACGTGTAATATTAATAGATAGTACTTGATATAGTCATTTTTGAAGTTGTGAGTTTTTATGTAATTTTCCTAAAAAAATAGCGACTGATTCTGCATATCTAAATTTGCCAGTAACCATAAAAAAGTAGTGCAAATGCAGTGAGACATGCAATTTGTAAATCAAAATTTCCTTTTCGAATTTCAATTTTGTATACTTTCCAATAACCTGCCCACTGATAATAATTTAACCAAACTTTCAAAATATTATTAGACACATTTTTAATAGCATCAATAGTTTTATTCGTATCTTGTAGATGATAGCAAATTGCAATTCCGACTGCTGCCCAGATTAGCTCAAGAACTGTACATGTTGCACAATAATCTAAACCTTTCTCTAAATTCTCTAAATATTGAACACCAAGCTGCAATGCTATATTAAAAATTCCATAACCAGAAAAGGCTGCAAGTAAGGCTTGGCACATGTCTTTTGAAGTGTACCACTGTCCAAGAATAATATTAGCAGTAAGATTTTTATTTTCATAATTTTTAAGTTTTTGAAAAATAGCTTTATCACATGCAATATCGATTATATTAACTCCTGTATTTGCTACATCATTTAAAAACATATCGCATGTCTCATATGCATTTTTATTAGAATTTGGTGCTGGACTGGGTTTTAGAATTACTATCTTTGGTTTATTAAATTTGCATTCTATTTCAATAGTTTTAATAACCTTTTAATGAATATCACTAATATCAAATTTATTTTTCTTTTCCAAAAGCAGTTCTTCAAAATTTTGATTATAATTTTTATTTAGATTATCTGTAATCATTGATAACCCAATTGTAACTTTGCTCAATTGTTCAGAAAAAAAGACTGAAGGATTATCAGGCAAATTTGGAGGAAGTTTAAACTGGAATGTGATTCGTAGAGTAGCATGTGCAGTTTGCCGTGCAGTATCATAAATATTTCTATATGCGAATATTTTTTCTTTTATATTAATATTATCAATAACTGATAAATTATAGATATTACTTGTAGTTTCAAGTCTGTTAGCAGGATTAGCACTTTTTATGCGCCATCTTTCTGTATGAACTTCATGATTCCAAACATAAAAAATTATATATGCAGAACGAAGAATTTTATAAAGCTTTGAAATCATATTTGGGCATTTACAAAGTGAGCCCAAGACATGAGATAACCAAAATTTCCAACAACGAAAAGAAATTTCCATCACAATTGATACTAAAAATATTGTGATTCTTTTAATTGATGTTAAATTTAATGGAATTGATGGTGATCCATGTGATTTTCTTTTTCTTTTAGCAATTTCATGTTTTTTTACAAAAAGAACTATAATAAGACTATTAAAAAAAGACCACAGAGTTTGAGGCAATACCAAAGCATATTGTACAAGCAATTGAGGATTTTCTAATATTGGCAAATTATTTTTAAGCGAGATACATGATTGCTATAAAGATTCTCCAAGAAGATTTCTGAAGTATATACACTCATTTTCTTTTAAAGATGCTGCTTTTGCTTTAATGCTTAAATCTATTTTTGCTAATCTAAATGCTATTTGAGTAATTAGTAGAGTCGGCATAACAAATCGTTCAGAAGAATCTGGATTTATTGGTTTATAAAGCAATTCTTATGGCAAATAAGGCTTTAACGACTCAACTGCTGGCAACAATGACCAGATAAGCTGTTGTTTTTGTATTATATTATCCAATTTTGCTACTAACTGAATCTAATTTCCAAATGTTTCTAAAACTCTAGTTAAGTCATCATGTTTCTTATTACAGTCTGTTTCTCTAGTTCCTTTACCATACCTTCTATGTAGATGACCACCATTTGCCTCATAACATTCAGAACAAATATATAAAGATCATGTATTATTTGTTGACAAAACAAAAACTGAGTAACAGGTTTGTAATGCTTTACATGATCGTAGTCCTAGATATGAAACTCTAATATTACGTCCACATATTATCCACGAATGCTTGGAACAACCCTCACCACTTGTAAAGAAGCATTTATATTTATTACAAAATAAGCATTTTGCATAATGAAGAATACTACGGTCTATTCCTAGTGTTTGAATTTTTTTTTAAATATAGCTGATTTTGATTATAAAGAAAATGCCTATAACAGATACCAAGCTCATTTAATTTTCCATTATTTTGCTCAGTGGTATTACAATCGATTTCTCAAGTACTCTTAAGTTGTGCAAGAGGTCAGTTAGCATCAATTCTGTTGCATTGTTGTATTTTGTAATTATCATTGTCATTATATATAATTACACAAGGTGTGTATTTATTATCTTTATTTTCAGAAATATTTGGTATAATTTCATCAAATCCTTCATCTAACTCATCATATAATATAATTTCTTCTATTTAACTATTAAGGTCATAGTCTTCATTATCATCGCCATCTAGTTGTAATATTTTATCCTTAATATTTTGATATGTATCATTATTGAAGTTTAGAATAGAAAAGTTTTCAATTTCATCTACAGATTCACTATCAGAATCATTATAATCAATGTTTTCCATCATTGTAACTGCAAAGTTTTATGAATTTAAATAATTGTATTTTTTATTTAAAAAAATTTAATTACAATAAAAAATTTTAACATGTGAGAAAAGATTTATTCATATTTATTACTTAATAATTTATTGATAGAAAATATATTTTTTGCCTTAAATATCTAATAATATCATATGCACAAATTGTTTAATATAAACCCCCAATTTTTAATAAGAAAAGTGCAATAAAAAGCTTTTAATACATCTAAAAAAACTTCCTATTTATGTGTTCTTGGAAAAAGTTTATTACATAAATCTGCTTATCATTTAGAAAATTTTCTTTTCAACACATCATTTCTAACCTGTAAATAATTTACTATACCTTCTTTCCCACTATTAGTGCATCTATTAAATATTAGAAAATCTATTTATTACAAGTTGATAAAACATAATTCATCTCAACATGCTATTCTAACCTGTAAATAATTCACCATACCTTCTTTCCTGCATCTGGAATCACATCATCTCTTCAATAATACACCTCTTGAGAAATGTTTATTAAATATTAGAAATTAATATTTATTGCAAGTTGATAAAACACAAATTCATCTCATCATTAAGAAAATTCTCTTTTTCAGTATGCTATTCTAACTTGTAAATTCACTATGCCCTTCTTCCCGCTATTAGTGAATCTGGAATTGTATCATTGTCTCAATAGCATGTCCTTTGAGAATGTTTATGATTATGCCATCAAATTAGAAAATCAATAATTGTCCTATAAGGTGCTAAAAAGAGTATAGCGTGAATCTATCAATCGTATTTCACAAAGATTTCTTCAGTTAGTATGATTCTAAGAAACAATAATAACACTTTTCAATTTTACCAATACAAGTTTTCTCTGAATTATTATTCCCAACTAAATAGACATTATAGCATGGTATAAACAAATTATATTAGTATGACCCAAAACAGAAAATATCTTTTTAATTAAACCCAATTTCTTAAAACTTATCTGGAATAAATCTGTGAACGTTAATATCTTGCCCTGCACATATTTAACTTTTATTAATTAATTGTTATTATTTATAATTCTTATTTCTTGATTTAATGATTATCCTGCATCTTTGATATTTCTTATATATTTCTCTTATTATTCTTATACATCATTCTGATATTTACTCAACCTGATCTAAGCATAGTTATCTCCCTCCAGTAATGGTAACGGTAATGGTAACACTAAGCACAATTCCCACCGTGAGTTAAAGCAATTTGGATCTTAATTTTTTTTTTTTTTTTTTTTTTGGTATTAAGGTGACCTCTTTGGCCTGGGGAACTTTTTATTAGAGTATAGAC